TACACATTTTGTAGTAATATAATAATAATAATAATAATAATAATAATAATAATAATTGGTGTTTTAAATAAACAACTGCGTCACATTTGTTGATCAGAATTTTTTTTTAAGGAATGCTTTTTGACAAATCACTATTTGTGTCTGCGAAACCAGCATTATGTATACAATTCGGCTAATTTATGTTTCATTTATCTATTTATTTGAATTATAAGACCACACTCGTCTCTTCCCTGCAGACGGAGGACCATGGAGAGCTCCGCTTTAACAGACAAGGGAGGGGGCTTGTCTGTTAATTATATTGATAACAAATTCCGTCCCATCACACTGATTAGAAGTGCATTTATCTCCCTGAACTTAAGCCTAAATATAAAGGCGGATTTATATCTACACGTATACATCGTTAGGGTCGGATGCACATTAATAACTCGCTGTAACAAAATGTAATCTAATGATATGACTGTCTCGCGGCTCCTCATTATATCTCCGATTGACAGTTCTAGGTTCAAACTAATTGTCTCCTGCGTGTTCGGGTGGGATGAGCTTGTGGAAATGATGTCCGAGAGAAATATTGATTATTTCAACGTGAAGTCTGTGCATAATCATCATGAAAATGAGTTTGAAAGCAACGATAGGGCTTTAAACGCAGTTAGATGCTGGTCTGAGAGAGGTGCAAGTTATTTCTGGATTTTATTTCATTTTGCCTGTTTTATGATGTTACTTGAATCACCAGTCTGATTGTTTAAAAATGTAATGAGAGAATAAAAGAGTAAATCCTATTTTATTGCAAATGTAAATACCTCAGTTATTCAAATATTTTTTATTATTTTTATATAGGCCTATATTATATATTTTTCTTGAGTGGGAAATGCTATTGTTTTGTTGTACATATTGTATTTCAAGGAATCTCAGGAAACTGGACTGTTAATCCAATATATCCCCAAATCATATCATAATCATATTTAAAGAAACATTAGGCAATAAACATTTTAATTTTGTGCATTTTTTATGTTGATAATTCCTATCTTCAGCAAAAGCTAAACATTTTAGTGTTTTGCTACATGTAATGTAGAATCATTCCACTGTGAAATTATATATATATATATATATATTCTTTAGTAGTCAGATGTGTCTCATTATAATAATAATGACACAGTAATGTTATTTCTGCCACAATAACACTGGTCTTGTTCCTGCCTTTTGTTGCAATATTTGTCAGAGAGTTGCTGTGTTGCATGTCTCTGCTCTCAGCCCCTGAGCAGGACACTGAGTGTGTTTGGCATCTGCTGGCCAGATCCAATCGCTCCCAATCAGCAGCAGGAGGAAAAGGTGTGGATGTGGATGGAATGAGGACAGGAAACGGCTGTGTGCCGTCACTCCTCTGCAGGACAAAATTTGACTGACAGATTCCTTAGCCCTCCAGAAAGTGTCAGGGCAACTCGACCCCCAGGTTACTCTTATCTTTCTCTCTGTTCCCTCACTACTTACTCTCCCTTTTTTCACTCTTCATCCGTCAAGCCAAAGCTATGAAAATAAGCAACATCTCTCTCAGCTGAGCAAAAATTTACTTTTACCAGCATTTCATGAACATATTTGGATTGTCCTTATTAGGCACCTCAAACACAAACACTGAAAAAGACATCAAATAAAAAAGACAAGGTAACTGAATTGAATGCTGATAGCTTTATTTGTGGCAAGTAGAAAAAGAAGGGGGTGGAGGGCACACAAAAGTTGAGAGACCATGTTGAGTGCTCCTAGTGAGGCATATTTAAACCCTATGAAGGGAAGGTTTCACTCTGTAGTAAAGGGCCAGTCATGGTCTTCTTGTCCAGGGCAAAGGGCAAAGGTTAGTGTCCAGACATGGGGTTTGGTCAGTGCAAAGCTCAGAGAGGCGTGGAGGTTTAAGGGCGAGAGGAGGTCACTTGGGAATTTGTGCTGGTCAGTCCTCATCAGAGTCATCGGCTGCACCAGTGATGGTGTAGGTTTGTTCCTGGTGGTCCGTCTCCAGCACGTCATCCTCATTTTTGACCGTTCTGTAGGGGAGGAAGGAAAATGGAAAGGGCTGAAGTAATCAAAAGAGACTTAGAGGATGGACAGTTAAGTAGCTATATGCTAACCTCATATTTAACACCATCTTAAAGGAGGCTAAGACATTATTTCTTAGTAAAACTAAATATTTTTTTGTTTAAAATAAAAAGAGAAAAGATACCTGATGGTACCTTTACCTAATGAGCACCGTCCTTCTCTCGGTCAGCTCCACAGCCTGCCCTGCATAGGCATCACTGTTGGCATCATTTCCAGCAGATCCATATCCTATTCCAGCACCACTGGTGTCACCCATTCCTCCATCGATCTTCCCCATTCCACCAACGCCAGACACTGCACCAACATCTCCTCCACCCACACCCTCAGTTCCTCCACTGCCTCCAAATCCGCCACCCATTCCAGCAGGACCCATTCCACGATCTTTACCTCCATCCCTGTCTATGCCTCCACCAAATCCATCACCCGCCCCACCACCAACACTGCCATTTCCTCCACTGAGCCCCATGCCACTGCTGTCTGTACCTGCAGTGCCACCACCTGCACCCATTCCAACACCCCCCATCCCGCCAATGCCCACACCTCCAGTCCCAGTGCCCAAACCTCCAACACCCACACCTCCATTGCCGCCACCAGTACCCACACCCTCTGCACCAGTTCCTGCACCCCCAGCTCCCAATCCTTGACCACCGCCAATGTCTGCCCTGCCTGCTCTACCAGCAGGACCCAGCTTGTCATCTGGACCTCCAGCACCCATTCTTCCACCCATTCCTCCAGCACCACTGCTTGGACCTGTGCCCATTCCTCCTGCACCCATGCCCCCACCCAATCCTGCTCCACCCCCCATGCCTACAACACCTCCACCACTACCTCCAATCATCCCGCCACCCATTCCACCAGCACCACCCATGCCTCCTCCACTGAAGCTCATCCCACCACCAATGGCGCTCGTGCTACAGCTGGTCAGAGACAGGGTTTGCATCATGCCCATGAGCCGCAGATCCTCTCCTTCAATAAGTTTTCTGTTAGAAAAACAAATATTTAATAAATATTTGTTTACATTTATTTAAATATATTTGATGGCACTAGATCCATTTTTAAGTTATTATTCCTTCACCTGTATGTCGTAATCTCAATCTCCAGAGACATCTTGACATTCAGGAGGTCCTGGTACTCTCGCAGGTGCAGCGCAATTTTCTCCTTGGTGGATTTCAGCTCAAGCTGCAGGGCCTCAATCCGAGCCTGTTAGGTTAACAGAGCCATAAAATTACTGTATGAATGAATTATTATAGTGATTATGTGTCTGCATGCATGAAAGTAAGTGTATGTAGTGACAACTGACTCTGGTGTGACCAGGTGTGCACCCTGGGACTACATTTCCTTACCTGCAGGTCTTCCAGTTCTTTTCTGTACTTTTCTTGCGTCTCTCGAATCTGGGCCTCAAGAGCTTCATTCCTGGTCCTCAGGGAATCCAAGTCACGTTCTTTGCTTTGGATCTGGAGGTATTTTTATTTTATTATAATCATTATAGTCATTTAATATCACTTGTCAATCAGTCCTTATTTCCTGTTTTCCACTTTTGCTACTTACATCCTTTTTAGCACCTGCGATTTCTTCTCTAATGCTTCGAACCTTGTCCACATGCCTTGACGTCTTGCTGGTTATATCTTCAAACTTGTTTTTATACCATGAATCCATCTCCTAAAAATGAGGGATGAAAATTTCACATGAATTGAAATTTAAACACAGAGAACTTAACAGACAGTGTAGATATGTGAATGTTTTACCTGGAGATTTTTGGCTGCAATGTCGTCATACTGGGCTTGGATTTGTTTCAAAGCAGCTGCCAAGTCAGGCAGGGCGAATGCACTCTGAGCTGAGGCGTGAGCTGCATAGATCTGTTTCATAAGCTCTTCGATTTCCTGGGAGAAAAATAAATCTTTAGTAATCACAAAAATGAAAGGCAACCTAAATATATCATGCTTATGTGAAAATGTCATCCACCTGTTGATGGACCCGTTTCAGGAATTCAATTTCAACTTCCAGCTGCTCCAGTTTCTTCTCCAAGACGATGCGTGAGGAGGTGGCTTTGTCAACATCCTGAAGAACACACCTTTGTTATCATGTGGGTTTAGGACTGTAAATTAATATTGGCTAATATTATAATAATTAAATGTAACCTACTGGACGGAAGGTTTCAATGTCTAGCTCAGCTTTCCTCCTCAGCTCCACTGCCTCCTCATATTTGATTTTGATTGCCTGTAGTTGAGCAGCTGTGGACTCCTTAGCCGCCAAGGAGATGTCCTGAAAACCAAGAAGCCAGAAGTAATATGGTCGTCTATTAGATTAGGAGGTGTGTGCAAAAAAGCCTTTTTTGCATTACACACCTGTGTGTGTTTGTTTGTGTGTGTGTGTGTATGTGTGTGGCCCAAGTCTTTTGGTGCATCTGTTTAGGCGATCTCTTGCTTGGCTAAGGCTTCTGAGAACATTTGCTCAATGAAAAAGGCCTTGTGTTACTGTGCTGTGGGTGTGGTGAAGATGTTTTACATGCCCTCTACCCTTGTGCCTCTGGGTCAACCCGTTATCTCTGCGTTTTTTCACATCCTTTTGTTTTTAAAAGGCATTATAATTCTTCTGCATTTGATGCAGATAGATTCTAAATGCACCACACACAGCAGATATAATGGGGATCTCGGATATAACATCATATGTTGTCCTGATTTTATTCATTGTCCTTTGCAATATGTCATCAGTTATTTCTGTCCATCTGAAATAATCAGAAAGGAAGGAAACTGCAGTTATGTGTCAGAAACAACTCGTTGCAGACTTTGAAGTTGTATCATAATCATCCTAACGAGAGGCTAATATTATACAATTAGTTCTGTGGAAATAATGTATGATATTTAGTGTAATGAGCAAGAAAAGACAAAGGAAAGATCGTTCCAATGTGGGTGCAGCTTCTTTAGATAAAGTTGAAACAGAAAGCTTTCAGATTGATGAGGTAGATATGGCTCTAAATTTAGGTTAAAGAAAAGTGCAAAGTCCATTTTAACAAAAACAACCTGAGTTGAGTCAGATCCTCCAAAACTATTTCTATACGATGACATTTGCTTTATAACTGGCCAACAGTGTTAACGCAAGCAGCTTTGGGTGTTTGTTAGCTTTGGTGGAACCTGTTGACAGAAGCCATGGCTTATGCTGGGAGCATTACTGTCACTGAGGTCTCCCTACACACACTCATGAGCTTGAGCTGGCCCAGAAAGAGACAAAAGGGAATAGCACCTGTTTGCACAGTGTGAAATTGATGAGGCAAGTTAATGTATGTCTTGTGTAACATTCAAGTACAGGGTCGAGTATCAAACCTTAATACTTGAAGAGTACAACTAAAATGTGTTTGTAACATTGGGTATTGTGTCCAGTATTTAAAATTGGCATTGAGTGGTTAGGCTTGTTTTCTTATTCTTTGATCAGATATAAACATTTCTAACCTAAAGTATTGTAAGTAGACAACGTTTTTAATGCATTGAGTAGTTCTGCATATTTTAATGAATGAAAAAATGGTTGGTAATTTGAATTGTCTTAATCGAAAATGAAAAAGTCCTTGTAGCTAAAGTAAAACTTGATATTACCAAAATTTGATCTGACTCAATTTTGTGACCTGATTAGTTAGGTGTTTATAAAGTGATAATTGTGTGAGCTGCCTACTTGGTTAGCTAATTAATATGCTGACATTTAATCTTAAATATTAATCCAACACCAACATTGGGGGGTGCACAAGCTCCCTGTGTCTACTGAGAGTTGTCCAGCTGCCTCTGTTAAAGCAGGGACTTCCAATACAGCTATCAGAGGGTACTGATGTATGCATGAGCAGCTGCAAGTTAGCTTTAACTAAAATAATTAGCTTGTGTCTTCTTACCCTGTAGCTGTGGAATAGCTCGATGGCGCGGAGGACATCAAACTTGCGGGCCATGAGGAACTTGACGGCCAATTCCCTGGACAATGGTGACACTCCATGCTGACTGGTCCACTTGTTGATTTCCTCCAGAAACTGCCTGGTAGCCTAAAACAGACACAGATGTGGTCACAAACTTTGTACTCTCATAATCGAAGGGTCAACAGGAAGGAAGTGAAACTGGGCTTTAAACTTGATACATCCTCAGAGGAAGTGCTATCTACAGCCTCACAGAACATACGACTATTTTATGGCCTGGTAAGACGTCTACGATAGCGTTTCATATGCTGTTGTATAGTCTGAAAGACGAGTGGAGCCCTGCTCACGGTGTGTTTACAGACACTATATACAAAGGAAGGCACAAAATAAAATGTGTGAACTGTAATTTGTGCACCCAACCAAAACGATTGGTTTTACACATGATTCCTCTATTTTGGTGGTTCATTTTGTGTGTTAACCACAGCTATCCTGGGGCAGGTTTAGGCTCTTTGTAGATGAACAGTTCCTTTTGTTCACTAAAAGAACAAACTTCAAACTTTAGAGCTTACAAAGTGAGTGCAAAAGCATGAGAGGGGAGGAAGATGGAATCCTGCTGAACTGGTGTTTATGAAATGAAGCTGCAATAATTACAGGGCGACATCCTCAGACATTACATTAATGCACCCATGTTCTTCTGCACAGCTTTCTCTTTCTCTTCTTATCTTTATCTATTTATATTTTGAAAGTACTTTATTTTTATGTGTGGT